CACAATGACGTAATTATTAGTTACCTAATGTGACTGTAGTTCTACAAATAGGTGCGTAGCCCCTTATCTACAAGCCCATCAGGCCAGGCTGGCTTTGGCTGAGGTCAAAGTGGCAGGTGCAGGCCTGAGCGGGGCTATTTATAGGAGGAGCTCGCTCGTGATTGGAGCATTGGATCTCCGATCTTTCTGGCGGAGGTTAGGTGCCTCAAGAGTCATACCCATAGCGTAACCCTAAGGGGCTATGCACCTATTTGTAGAACTACAGTTACATAGGTAACTAATAATTTCCCATTCTCTCCACACACGGTGATGACAGAAGCGAGTTGCCGAACAAACTGGCGCATCAAAGCCCCAACCAGCACCATCCAGCACCATCCATTCACTCTCTCACTCATTACATTCATTATGTGTGTTACATTATGTGTTCCTTCATGGCTCCTTGTATCTTTATTTCAACACTGACTTTCAATTTCCATTTATATACCGTATGCAGGATATAATCTATTCAGAGCTTCCCCCAAGTGACGTGGTCCCCAAACCCGCCCAAAAGGATTCTGGAAGTCAGCAAAGTGAAGAGTGCTTTTAGCAGATGCTACACAGGCTAATGCATTTCCTCATTTGTTTTGAGCTATTTTCATAAAGATTGACACAAAATTGAGACTCTCCACTTGATATGAGCAGATGGTACTATGAGATAGTGGAATTTGCACAGGACTGGTTTGAACTGTCTTTATTGTGTTTCTTTTGCATGTTTTTATTTCCTCTTTTTATGCATACATTTTAACTTCACCTTTCCTTGGACACATCCCCAATCACCCACACCTGTTTATATTCAACGAGGGACTATACATTGGAGGGGGCACTGCAAGAGGGGGAGGACATGAAGAAGCGCTGAGGACAGGGGAGCAGGAGCAGCTCAGGCCAGGGCCACGAAGACTTAGATGGCGCACGGAGAGTGCCATGGATGGAGCGTGGGCACAACAAGAGATCCCCGGCAAGCCAGGTACCTGACCCCGGCGGGCACCCAGTGCGAGAAGCGTGGCTTTTAGTATACCAACACCAATACCTTCGGAGTGAGCAGGCCTCTGCTCAGGACTTGTTATGACTCTGTGGTAGCCTCTGCCATTTACTACGCTGCCGTGTGTTGGGCCCCGGGCAGCACAGAGCGGGACAGAAACAGACTGAACAAGCTGGTCAGGAGGGCCAGCTCCACTCTGGGCTGCTCCCTGGACTCTGTGGAGGAGGTGAGGGACAGGAGGGTGCTAGCCAAAGCCACCTCCATCATGAACAATACCTCCCACCCACTGCACAGGACTGTGGAGGAGCTGAGGAGCTCCTTCAGTGGAAGACTGAGGCACCCTCAGTGTAGGAGCGCTACCGCAGGGCCTTTATCCCCACCGCTGTCAGACTGTACACGGTGCGGCACGGTGGCTGAGTGGATAGCACTCTTGCCTCTCAGCAAGAAGGTCCTGGGTTCGAATCCCGGCCGGACCAGGGCCTTTCTGGGTGGAGTTTGCATATTCTCCCTGTGTCTGCGTAGGTTTCCTCCGGGTACTTCAGTTTCCCCTACCACCAAAAACATGTCCCATAGTTCTGGCATGCGCCTCCTGTACTGGCGACCCCGCTCCCACCTCTGTGTGGAGTGTGAGGACAAATGCCCAAAAAAAACAAATATATAACATTGTAAACCGCTTTGTGACTCTGGTCTGTGAAAGGCGGTATTTAACCTTTTAAGGATCACCCTCCCTGTACAGGGAGGATTCAGTTATTTTTCATTTAATAGCATCAGTATTAGAATTCACTTGTGTCAATATAGTCAAGCTATATCTCTTATGAAAGCTTATTCCCACCTCTATACGCGTATTATGTTCAAATAAACATTAAATATAACCAAAAGTAAGAATAAGTAGTCAAACTGTATATATATTTAAAATATATATTGTCCTTTCTTACCTTGTCATGCTAATATTCTGGGGCAAATCACGTCTAATCCACACATGTGTGCATTCGTTTTGTTCGTTAGGGTCTAGAGAATAATTATATCCAGTTGTTTTTTCTTCAAAGTCATCCTTATAGTAGATATCCACTTGCAACAACATATTTGAGTATTGAAAGTTGCACAAACAAAAACAAAACCTGTTCTTTGCGCACTGTATGAAGAGGACATTTTACTGTTTAGCTAGCGTCACTGGGTATGGTCGTCTTCCTCTAAGCCTCCCCTTCAAAACAAGCCCATTCCCGGACTTTTCAGTGCTATGGTTTGGAAGGTAGAGTAAGTTGAGTAAAACAAGCGCACCTAGCTTTAGCGTTCCATTCACTTAGATCTCTGTGCGTCATGACAGCATTGTCTTGACTACCATTGGCCGATTTGGATGTCAATCAAACGGAGCCTTTTTCACGGAGAACACGCGCTATAACTATATAAATAATAGCTTTTCTGCAAACATTTCAATATCTGGAAAAAAATGCTATTTATAGCAAGAGTAATAGCCAAAAAATTATATAAATGGATTTTTGCTGTAAAAACATTGATAATTTGCATGTAAAACACTTTGGCACAGTTGGCACAAAAATGGACCACTTGTGCCGAATGTGCCCATTAGTTACAAAAAAGCCCCCAGCATCAAAATAGTTCCACCTAAAGGTCTAAAATTTCATACAGGTGTTTCCAACACCACAAACATCTGCTCTGGTGAGTTTGAACATCATACCATAAAGTATGTCTTCAGGAGAACCTTTGAAATTGCCTTTTTTTTTTTGACAAAAGAAACTAACTTTGACTCATGTTTGAGAAGGTGTAGTGCAGACTGTGTCCTTCCTAACAAACTGTAACTAGAAGGTGTTACCTTTCAAATGAGGCCTCATAACACAAAATCAGACACAAGATGTCCACACAATAAGCATTTCCATTTGGGTATCATAATTCGAGAAGGAGCAGGCGAAATTAGGTGATCCTTAAAGGGATAAATAAAGATTACTTACTTACTTACTTTAAGTCACTGTATATGACTGAAAAAATCTGCACTACTATTGACACTATTTCTGATTGCCACTTTTTTTATTGTACATCATATATCCTGCATTTAACATGTTTGCACATTTCCTCCCTTTTTGCACAATCTTGAGTGTTCCTATCCATGCCAAATGTGACATGTAAATTTCTCCTTTGTGAGATAAATAAAGCATATCTTATCTTATCTTATCAACAACTCATTTGATTTGTTCCAGTCCGGTTTTAGACCCCACCACAGCACTGAGGCGGTCTCAATATGTGTACCTCTTGCTAAGGTAATAAACAATATCTGACGCAGGCAAAGTCTAAAATCTGAGTGCTGCTTTTGACACTGTCAATCATGAGATCCTTATGCAGAGACAAGAGGACCGGGTTGGTGTCACTGGCACAGCCCTAAGTTGGTTTAGGTCTTACCTTGAAGACTGAAAGTACTTTGCGGAGTACTTTCTCTCCAAACAAGCTGTAAAACAGCTGCAGTAGGATGACAGATTTCCTCTATGATGGATTGTTTAAATCCATCTTTAAAAAAGTTATTTTTAACTGTGCATATAATTGAGGGATTTTATGTTTACTCTTTTTAATGTACTGTAACTATTTATGAATTCAATGCCCTGTATATGAATTGTGCTATGCAAATAAACTTTCCTCTCAAGTATAAGTCGCATTTTTTGGGGAAAAAATAGAATAGAGAAAAAAAAATGTGGCCAAACTTGCATGTGACAGCCAAATCCCATCAGACCTCTGAAGCTGGGCAGGGCAGGGCAGGGCCTGGTTAGTACTGTGAAGGGAGACCTATGGGAAGAGCAGATGCTGCAGTGGGGTGACTGCGGCTGTAAAATGCCAAACTGTTGTTGTGTCCTTAAGCAAGACACTTCACCCACATTGCCTATGAGTCTGGAATGTGTCTGGTTGGTGGTGCTCGGAGGGGCCGATGGCACATACTAGTTGCCTTGTGACTGGAAGCTTGAGGCTTGATTTGGAGGCTCCGTGAAAACAAACAACCGAGCATGTGCGCTGATGATTGACAGCCCTTAGCGTCACTTCATTGGTTAAACTGGACGGCATCGTGGATTTTGAGCTATGGCTAAGATTAGGGAAAAGTGTATGCTATATGATGCATACACAACGAACTGAGAACGTGCCTGAAGTGCAACGTAACATATTGGTAAGAGTCATTCAAATAACGTCAGCATTTGTTTGATATTTTGCGGTAAATAAAATATAAAATTTATGTTTATATGAAATGTAATAGATTTCACTCTTATGTTGCTCCAGAGTATACAAGTCGCACCCTCGGACAAACTTTGACAAAAACTGCGACTTATGTAACCCATAAAATACAGCACTCTTTTGGGGGACATTATTCACATCATTTTACAGGTACACCTGCTCCAAGTGTGTAACCACAAGGCAACATCCACTCTGAGCTTTTGAGATCTTTGTGAAAAAGTCTCTGTCACCTGCCAAATGGTGTTTTTCTCTTGCAAACCACTCTCTCAAAAAACCTCCTGCTGAAACACTATTACAGGCAGTTACAGTTGATGAATATATTGTTGCTGCATGATGAGGCAATTACTCCCAGAAACTTGAATACATGTATGTTTGATGTAATAGTTTATTCCAAAAAGATATGCGAAGCCGTTCTTGTATTCAATGACAACGCATGTCTGACGTAATAATCTAATTTCTTAATGAAAACTACCAAGCTGGCCTTCTACCCTGGATTTTACTTAAATGTAGGCCATGTTTGAATTTGCTTGGCCCTTCTTCTACGGGTGCTTGTTGATATTTGAGAAAATGTGTCCCACTGTGAATATTTGAAAGACAGTGTTAATGAATACGTAATACAAGATAAATGTAAGCTTTCTCTACGGATGACATGCTGATGAGGGCAGACCAGGGGACAGGCCAGGGGACAGACCAGGGGGCAGACCAGGGGACAGACCAGGGGGCAGACCAGGGGGCAGACCAGGGGACAGACCAGGGGTCAGACCAGGGGGCAGACCAGGGGGCAGACCAGGGGGCAGACCAGGGGGCAGACCAGGGGACAGACCAGGGGCAGACCAGGGGACCAGGGGACCAGGGACAGACCGGGGGGCAGACCAGGGGACAGACCAGGGGACAGACCAGGGGGCAGACCAGGGGACAGACCAGGGGACAGACCAGGGGGCAGACCAGGGGGCAGACCAGGGGACAGACCAGGGGGCAGACCAGGGGACAGACCGGGGGGCAGACCAGGGGACAGACCAGGGGACAGACCAGGGGACAGACCAGGGGGCAGACCAGGGGACAGACCAGGGGACAGACCAGGGGACAGACCGGGGGGCAGACCAGGGGACAGACCAGGGGACAGACCAGGGGACAGACCAGGGGGCAGACCAGGGGACAGACCAGGGGGCAGACCAGGGGACAGACCAGGGGACAGACCAGGGGGCAGACCAGGGGACAGACCAGGGGGCAGACCAGGGGACAGACCAGGGGGCAGACCAGGGGACAGACCAGGGGACAGACCAGGGGACAGACCAGGGGGCAGACCAGGGGACAGACCAGGGGACAGACCAGGGGGCAGACCAGGGGACAGACCAGGGGGCAGACCAGGGGACAGACCAGGGGACAGACCAGGGGACAGACCAGGGGACAGACCAGGGGACAGACTAGGGGGCAGACCAGGGGACGGACTGCACTCTGTTTGGGTTCAATGAATGATCACATGGATCGCAGAAAAAAGCTCTTGTCAAGAAAAACATGGGTAATGCCAAAACAGTGTTCACATGAGAGGGCATCAGAATGAACATTTATTGAAATGTGGATTCAGGAAAATTACAATTCCATGTTTACTCAGTTATATTTCCTTTCTACATTAAATAAAAACAAATAGGTTGCATATAAGAGTGTTTATGGGACCGTACTTTATTTTTTCTTTGTACATTTATTTTGTTTTTGTTACATTTTGTGATGAAATCAGACCAAAACATGCTGTCTTCATCCTATTAGAAAATGGTTTAACTTTAACTGCTGATTGTCTGTGGGCTGATACTTTCATTACCAAAAAAGCAGATTTTTTTGAGAGCTTTGAACTAGTAAGATGAATTTTATTACATAGTAATGTTGTTGGGATTTTTAGATTAGGTACACCAGCTTTAATAAACACATGATTTATCTATGCTAGAGTTCACCAGTTGGCAATACTTTCTGTATTCTTCTGTATCCTTCTGTATCCAGCCCAGCCCCCAGCCCCCACCTCGGACAGTACATCCCAGTCCCCCCCCCTCTCCATCACACCGGACCAGGTGAGGAGTCAGCTCCAGCGCCTGAAGCTGAGGAAATCCGCAGGACCGGACGGGATCAGTCCCAGGCTGCTGAGGACCTGTGCAGACCAGCTCTCTGGGGTCCTCAGCTACATGTACAACCTGAGCCTCAGCCTGGAGAAGGTCCCTGTCCTGTGGAAGACCTCCTGTGTGATCCCGGTTCCAAAAACAGCACACGCCAAGGAACCGGCTCACTACAGACCAGTTGCACTGACCTCCCACCTGATGAAGACAATGGAGCGGCTCATCCTCACCCATCTCCGCTCCGTGGTCAGCCCCACCCTGGACCCGCTGCAGTTCGCCTACAGACCCAACATCGGAGTAGAGGACGCCGTCATCTACTTCCTGCAGCGGACGCTCTCCCACCTGGAGCCCGCCGGGAGCGCTGTGAGGGTCATGTTTTTCGACTTCTCCAGCGCTTTCAATACCATCAGGCCGGCACTGCTGCGGGGGAAGATGGAGGACGCGGGAGTGGACAGTAACCTCACTGCATGGACCATCAACTACCTCTCAGACCGACCACAGTACGTGCGGCTGCGCAGCTGTGAGTCTGAGGTGGTCGTCTGCAGCACTGGGGCCCCTCAGGGCACTGTCCTCTCACCGTTTCTCTTCACCATCTACACCTCAGACTTCACACACGACATACACAGCTGTCACCTGCAGAAGTTCTCCGACGACTCCGCCATCGTGGGCTGTGTGTCTGAGGGGAACGAACTGGAATATCGGTCGGTTATCAAGGACTTTGTCGACTGGTGTGAGCGCAACCACTTGTGCTTGAACACCAGTAAGACCAAGGAGATGGTAATCGACTTCAGGAGAAAACCACTTTCCCACACGCTGCTGAACATCCAGGGGGAGGACATTGAGCTGGTGGACAGCTTCAAGTACCTGGGTGTTCACATTAACAATAAACTGGACTGGTCCCATAATACAAACGCCCTGCACAAGAAGGGCAAAAGTCGCCTCTTCCTTCTGAGGAGGCTGAGGTCCTTCGGAGTGAGCAGGCCTCTGCTCAGGACTTTTTATGACTCTGTGGTAGCTTCTGCCATTTACTACGCTGCCGTGTGCTGGGCCCCGGGCAGCACAGAGCGGGACAGAAACAGACTGAACAAGCTGGTCAGGAGGGCCAGCTCCACTCTGGGCTGCTCCCTGGACTCTGTGGAGGAGGTGAGGGACAGGAGGGTGCTAGCCAAAGCCACCTCCATCATGAACAATACCTCCCACCCACTGCACAGGACTGTAGAGGAGCTGAGGAGCTCCTTCAGTGGAAGACTGAGGCACCCTCAGTGTAGGAAGGAGCGCTACCGCAGGGCCTTTATCCCCACCGCTGTCAGACTGTACAATAAGTCACTTTAAATGATCACTGTGTGAAAACCTGCACTACTATTGACACTGTTTCCAATTGACACTTGTCACTTTTGTTGTACATAATTATTGTCACTTTATTGTACATATATCCTGCATGTAACATGTTTGCACATTTCCTCCTTTGCACAATCTGAGTGTCTCTATCCATGCCAAATGTGACATGTAAATTTCTCCTCTGTGAGATAAATAAAGCAATCTTATCTTATCTTATCTCTCTGTGGTCCCTGCAGGATAAGAATTTAGTATTTATTGCAAGAGGCACACAATAACACACACTCTAGTCTTTCTAGATTGCCATCAATAATGTGTTCGATTTTATAATTATAATAATGATAGTCTATGTTTCTTTGAAAAGTCCCCTTGAAAACATTCAATAACACAAAAAAACATTTGAAAACAGAATACAACATCGGCTGGAAAATGATGGGGTGACTGAAGTGGGATAGTCTCAACAGGTGACTTTTTGAGTCTGGAATTGGACACAGTGAGTTCTGTCTCCCCTGGTAAAGAGTCATTGAGAGAAGTATGTACATAATTATATGTATGTTTGTGTAAGCCCTCAGTCGTACAGGGATTAGTCAAAGCAAAGGAAGGTTTCTCACCCATCATCTGTACTTTTTAAAAAGTTTTCCTGACGTTTTGTCCTCAATCCTAAGGACTTCTTCAGGGAATGAATTCTCAGACCGCGCGTTGGAGATTTATAACCTATGGGTGTGGTTAGCCACACCCTAATCCTGATACTAACTCATAAACAATCTAAGGTCTGTTTGATGTAGAAGGGAGCAGGTCTAACGACCCTGCTGAGGCTAACGACCCTAACTCATTAGCATGTCACTGACCTTGTCCCAAGTTAGGGCGTTGTTTTTAGGATGTCGTCATAGATGCGAGGCAAAACAAATTTTAACCCTCCCCCTCTGTTAAGAGAAGGTTTTTGTTTCCTCACAAAAATGGCTTCTTTCACCCCTGTCTCAAACCAATTCTTCTCCCGAGCCGGAATTTTAACCTCTGTGTCATCCACCGTGTGGTTGGAGGCCTTGAGGTGGAGATGAACAGCCGATTGTGGCCCACTAGAGTTTTCTCTACGATTTTGGTAAAGTCGTTTCTGTAGAGTTTGCTTAGTTTCTCCAATATAGTGGTCAGTGCACTCCTCTTCACTACATTTAATTGAATACACCACATTGCTCTGTTTGTGTCTGGGTGTTTTGTCTTTAGGATGCACTAATTTCTGTCTTAACGTGTTGAAAGGTTTGAAATACACAGGGATTTCAAACATAATTATATGTAGTAAACACTGGGACAGACAAGTGTGTAGTTGTTTGGTTAGCAGGTGATAATGCTGTTTCAACCACAGTTGAACCTGATGAAATCTCACACAACAAAGAGACAAAGTTAATCTTTTACTTGTTACATTGTACAAGGAGAATGTCTTGACAGAGGCAAGGCACAGACCCTAGCCTCTCTCAGGACAAGTCTGAAGATTCACAGTCTGCAAGCCCCTTTTGGTAGAGCAAGACACACCTTCGTATGCAGATGGAAAAGGAAGAAACCAACACAACAAAAGACACTTAGCATATGAGCTCCCCAGACCTCCCGGTGTCTTCCTGAAGCTAAAGTGAATTACAATACAGAGCATTCAGCACATAGCCACATATGATTTACCAAAATGATAACTTAAGTTACATTCCAATATCATTCCCTCCTTTTTATCCTTTTGATAAATCAAACAATCTATGTTCAAACATGGAGAACATGGAGAACTGAAGAAGAAAAAACACTCATCCAAACTGAAAAAGAAAACATTTTCATAGTATAATTTCACATTGTTGTTCCATAAACTATTCCCCCTATTGAGACATACATGGCTCAAAACTGAACAATGTATTAACTTGAAATGTATTAACTTTGGTTATCAAATTCAACACCACGCACACGCCCAAAAGCCCGAAAACCCAAAGTCCATTTTCACAGTCCATAGTCAGTCCATTTGACACGTCCTCTCGACCCCTCCTCATGTTTGGTTATGACCAGAAATGTCCACTCTGTTCCTGTTTCGAAACTCTTCTCTGTCTGCGTTTCCGACGCAAGACTAGCAGCAAGCCGTTTTCCAACAGCGACACAAAGCTGAAATTTCAAGTCGCAAATGTACCAAGATGTCACCTTCAATTCTCACGTCCATTTAACTTGAGCAAACGGCCAGCGCCCTCCGTGGGCCTGCGCGCTTTGATCTTTGCAAATCGGCCCGTGATTATTCGTCAGCAGCTTCCGACACGGGGGGGGGTTTGTGTGGAGGGTCGTTTCGTAGGTGTCGATGGCTGTATGGAGATGGAGTGGGTTTTCTGTCCCACAATGGAAAATAGGTGGATTTTGTTGCTTTGAAGCTTTGGCAGGGACGTGGCATTTTGCTCAAAAACAAGAAGCACATTTGTTAATACATTTCAGAATCAAAACATAAGGTGAACGGTAATTCTAAACCAAGAAAACTTTCAAAGTTTCACAATGACTTTTAAAACAAGTATTCTAAACCTGGTGTTAAACTTTTCTATAATTCTTGCTAATTTTTTAGACTTTCTTCACACATACTCAACTCGTTCTTGTAAAATCTCTTCCCAATGTATTTTTTCCCCTCTTATTCAACTTTCTCTTCCCCAGCTGAAAAACTAACTCCTATCTCTCTCTCTCTCTAAATGTTGTTCTAGTTAGTGAGTTTGTTTTGTCAGTTTAGTTTGAGCTTAAACAGACAAACACTTCAACACATAAAACACATGGACAAAGGAAGAACACACAAGACAAAGAAGGACGAAGACAAACAAAGAAAACACATGGACAGAGGAGAAAGGACCACATGGCCACAAAATGGCGGTCTATCTACTTTTTGCAATGTCCAATTCCAAATTTTGAGTAATTTAAAGGTCTTTAAACGTCCAATTTCATTTTAGTGTATTTAGATATCTTTAAATGTCAAATTTCAGTTTAGAAGTAATGTAGAAGTTCAGTCCGAAGTAATTCAATTCTAACACATTCATTATACAGGCGTAACTCTGCGTTACCCTTTTGAATGAAACCCCGTTCATTCGAGCTCTGTAAAAGTCCTTGACTAAAGGCATAACTCTGTGTTATCCTAAATGAACGCCCCGTTCATCGAGCTCCACACTACTCTCTTGAATTAGTCCCGGACATAATTTGTAGTGTAATAAAGTCCGAGACTCAAGCATAATTTCTGCGTTTTCCTAAATTATTGTGTTCATGTGAACTTCACACTACTTCCTGGATTACTTTTGGACATAATTTAGAGTGTACAGAACTTGCCTTTGCTGCGATTTCATCTGGAAAAAACTGTAGTTCTCCCGTCGACTACAACCCAGGGCTGTCCTGCCTCAAACCTGGAGTTCCAATGCAGTTCCGTGTGCAGAAGGCCTTGCTGTTGCTCCTGGAAGTCCATGTTTGAGACAAGCTCAGCTCCTGTAAGAAGTGTTGGGATCCGGATTCGAAGGACCAAGTGATAAAGCTGTTTCAACCACAGTTGAGACCTGATGAAATCTCACACAACAAAGAGACAAAGTTAATCTTTACTTGTTACATTGTACAAGAGAATGTCTTGACAGAGGCAAGGCACAGACCCTAGCCTCTCTCAGACAAGTCAAGTCTGCAAGCCCTTTGGTAGACAAGACACACCTTGTATGCAACAGACAATACCAGACCTGATTTACCAAAGAAACTTAAGTTAATTCCAATTCACAGGCTGGACTCGCTGAGCGTGCCACAGACGTCCTGCAGCACTTGCTCCTCGACACTGACATTGTGGTGACAGTACTCCGCACACACTGAGAGTCTGAGCAGGAGGATCGGCCGGCTTCCGGACCAAAAACACCCTAGCCTCTCTCAGGACAAGTCTGAAGATTCACAGTCTGCAAGCCCCTTTTGGTAGAGCAAGACACACCTTCGTATGCAGATGGAAAAGGAAGAAACCAACACAACAAAAGACACTTAGCATATGAGCTCCCCAGACCTCCCGGTGTCTTCCTGAAGCTAAAGTGAATTACAATACAGAGCATTCAGCACATAGCCACATATGATTTACCAAAATGATAACTTAAGTTACATTCCAATATCAGCAGGGCTGGACCTCGCTGCACGCGTGGCCACAGGACGTCCTGCAGCACTTCTGCTCCTCGGGACACTGACCATTGTGGTGACAGTACTCCGCACACATCTGAGAAGGCTGAGGCAGGAGGCATCGGCCGCGCTTCACTGGACACAAAAACACAGAATGTAGTGTTTCTCAAACTGTGGTACAAGGCCGTCAACCTGGGTAAAAAGTCGTAGAACTAGTTAAGTTTAGTGTTAAGCCATGTTCAAACATGTTAGTAGTAGTAGTTAGAGACTTAATATTGTTTGTAACTCAGGAGGCCCAGTATATTCTCTGGTAGTCTCTGTGGACAGGACAGCTTTGAATCTGATGTAACCTTTTTTGTATATCCAAAGAATGAGCTTTGGAACAAAGTTGTCTCCTCTTTCAATTCCATCACTGCATTGTGTTAAGCCGCGTTCAGACCGGATCATGCGTCGCGTCGGGTTTCAATGCAAAGTCTATGGTGACGCGCGTTGCAGCGTCAAAACGCACCGACCTCCCGGCACTAGGGTTGGCAACCGTCCCTTGAAATACGGAAATGTCCCGTATTATAGAAAAACTATGTGCGTCCCGTATTGAACCGATACGGGACGGCTTTTGTCCCGTATTTTCAGAGCCACCTTAAATCCGTCATTCACTCACTGCATGTCACACGCGCAACCATAGACTGTATACGCTTGACACACGCACACACAACACACACAAAGTAATCACAGTTTAAGCGTCTACATTTCGGCCAATCAGTGTCAAAGGGGCGTAGACTTGATCACATTCATTGGTTTAATGTTGACAATCGGCAGCGTGGACTGCTCCCGCAGCATCATCATAGCAGAAGTTTCATGGGTAAAGTAGCGTCATATTCCCAGATTCGGACTTGGGGCCCGGTCCCAGACCCCCGGGCTCCGGTCCGGGGCTGCGTGGCCCGGTCCCAGACCTCCGTGGCCCGGTCCCAGACCTCCGTGGCCCAGTCCCAGACCTCCGTGGCCCGGTCCCAGACCTGCGTGGCCCAGTCCCAGACCTCCGTGGCCCGGTCCCAGACCCCCGGGCTCCGGTCCAGCCCCAGTCTATTGACTGTAGTAACCGGTTTCTATTTCTTCAATCAATCAATCAAATTTTATTTATAAAGCGCTTTTCATACAAAAGATGCAACACAAAGTGCTTTACAGTTTGGTTAAAAACAATCCCGCCGGCCCAAGACCCCTCCCCCCGACCACCCAACAGACCCACCCCAAACCACAGACAAACACACACACGCTCTCATGAACACTCATACACACACACACCAGTAAAACAATAAAACCATGATGAGAGACTTGGCAGGGTTCAGATGCAACCAGCTGAAAAAGCGTCAAAGGAGCCGTCTGCACCAGGAGCAGAGAGCCGCCCGTAGCCACAGGGGACGACACAGGACCCAGCGGAGACACGAAACGAGGCCCCAGGCCCCACCAGGCCCAAGCGTCCGACCCCTGCAGCCACACCGACCACTGCTCCCTGTGCAGAGGGCTCCTCCAGAGGAAACACTGGGTACACTAAGGCCCTGTTTATACTGAGACGCTGCGCAGACGTTTCCAAGCGATTATCAGAAACGACCGGGCTCCTTATGCAAATTTCTCAGCGTACATACGAGGTTGAAAAACGATGTAGTTCTAGCGCCCGGCCAGTAGGGGGCAGAGAAACTTTCAAACCCACACACGCATGACCCCCTGCAGTGTAATCACTTCCGCAACGCAAACCGTGTTCAACCATCACTCTGCATTTAACAACAGCAGCAACAACAATGGAGAATGTAGCTACAGCCTCCCGTGGTTTTGTCTGGACGGAGGAGGAGGTGGAATTGCTCCTCCGTGTAACGCTGGAGTACAAGACGACTAAGTGCCAGGAGAACGTCGACTGGGAGTCTTGCCAGTCTAAATACAAAGACATATACGAGGACTTTGTAAGACAATATCCCCAAGGCAGACAAGACGAGTTCCCCCACAGCAACGGGGAGATCACGTCCAAGGCACAAATCACGTCCAAATTGAAGGCTGTTCGGACGAAGTACAGAAAAGCGGTGGACACGGGGAAGCGAAGTGGCCAAGGACGTGTTGTGTTCATATTCTTCGAGCTGTGCCAACAAGTTTGGGGAGGGTCACCGGCCACTGAGACCATCGCAGGCGGGCTGGAGACGGCGGATTGCGAAGATGATGATCCCGCCATTACCCGTAGCTCAACCTCTCTCTCAGAAAGCCAAGAAAATGTGGAGAATGACAATAGCGGTTCGTCTTCTGGGGTGGTCAACTCGAGACGAAATATGCTCCAAGTAAGTACTTGCAGTTCATTGGGTTGGACTAGTGTGTAATAAAGTGCTCATTAATTCGTTAAGACTAATTCTATTGCTCTATTATATAATATACACACTAATATATGTATGTAATGTGTATATATATTTAGTGTGTGTGTATATATATATATATGTATATGTGTGTATGTATGTATGTGTATATGTATATGTGTGTATGTATGTATGTGTATATATATATATTAGTGCTGTCCAAAATATTGCGTTATTATTAACGCAAATCAATATTAACGGCGTCATTTTTTTTATCGCGCAATTAATTTTTTTTATAATTATTAAAAAACAAAAAAACATTTTTTTTTTTAAACTTTTTATTGCAGACAAACACATATACAGAAAAAAAAATAGACACAAAGAAAAGGACTAGTTCAGATACATTTACATGAACAAATTTACAAAAAAATTGTTTATCATCATCATAATGACACCATGATGTTTCTATACAGTCTATGGTCTATACCCACACATCCACACACACACACACACACACACACACTCTACACACACACACACACATTGAAGGGGCTTTTTGTTACCAATTATTTATTTTGTCATCCATTTATTGATGATTTTGCATCAAATGTTAGTGTGTAATATAACACTACACATTGTTTTCAAGAGAACCATGAAGACAAAGGAACACACCAGGCAGGTTCAAGATACTGTTGTGGAGAAGTTTAAAGCCGGATTTGGATACAAAAAGATTTCCCAAGCTTTAAACATCTCAAGGAGCACTGTGCAAGCAATTATATTTAAATGGAAGGAGTATCAGACCACTGCAAATCTACCAAGACCCGGCCGTCCCTCCAAACTTTCATCTCAAACAAGGAAAAGACTGATCAGAGATGCAACCAAGAGGCCCATGATCACTCTGGATGAACTGCAGATAACTACAGCTGAGGTGGGAGAGTCTGTTCATAGGACAACAATCAGTCGTGCACTGCACAAATCTGGCCTTTATGGAAGAGTGGCAAGAAGAAAGCCATTTCTCAAAGATATCCATAAAAAGTCTTGTTTAAAGTTTGCCACAAGCCACCTGGGAGACACACCAAACATGTGGAAGAAGGTGCTCTGGTCAGATGAAACCAAAATCAAACTTTTTGGCCACAATGCAAAACGATATGTTTGGCGTAAAAGCAACACAGCTCATCACCCTGAACACACCATCCCCACTGTCAAACATGGTGGTGGCAGCATCATGGTTTGGGCCTGCTTTTCTTCAGCAGGGACAGGGAAGATGGCTAAAATCGATTGGAAGAGGGATGGAGCCAAATACAGGACCATTCTGGAAGAAAACCTGTTGGAGTCTGCAAAAGACCTGAGACTGGGACGGAGATTTATCTTCCAACAGGACAATGATCCAAAACATAAAGCCAAATCTACAATGGAATGGTTCACAAATAGACGTATCCAGGTGTTAGAATGGCCAAGTCAAAGTCCAGACCTGAATCCAATCGAGAATCTGTGGAAAGAGCTGAAGACTACTGTTCACAAACGCTCTCCATCAAACCTCACTGAGCTCGAGCTGTTTTGCAAGAAGAATGGGAAAGAATTCCAGTCTCTCGATGTGCAAAACTGATAGAGACATACCCCAAGCGACTTGCAGCTGTAATTGCAGCAAAAGGTGGCGCTACAAAGTATTAGCGCAAGGGGGCCGAATAATATTGCACGCCCCACTTTTCAGTTTTTTATTTGTTAAAAAAGTTTAAATTATCCTATAAATTTCGTTCCACTTCACGATTGTGTCCCACTTGTGGTTGATTTTTGACAAAAAATGTCATTTTTATATCTTTATGTTTTGAAGCCTGAAATGTGGCGAAATGTTGAAAGGTTCAAGGGGGCCGAATACTTTTGCAAGGCACTGTATATATATGTGTATGTATATATGTATATACATGTGTATGTATGTATATATACATTGTGTATATATATATATATGTGTGTGTGTGTGTGTGTGTGTGTGGCAGCCATTTTGTCGACCCTCATGCATGCGGAATGTTATGTATGTATGCTGATGTTCATATATGTTTTGTCCCATTAACAGGCGAAGCTGGATGGTCACAGGAGAGAGAAGTTGAAGAGAAAACTGCACTCTGATTCGTTTGTGGAAGAGGACCTCCGTATCAAACGGAGAATGTTGGAGTTGGCCGAGGTGGCAGAGATTAACAGTAAACTGCAAATGGCTGAGCTAACAAGCGAGATGAGGAAGTTACATGGCTCCATTTCTGAAGGGTTGTCGATATTGAGACAGTTAACCCCACAGTCGCAGTTCAACTCGCCATATCCTCATGGACAACTTGCCTATGCAGATGTGCACAGACTGCCCAGTGGGTTCAGTCCTCATGGCTTCTCCACACCTGGCCCCATGCACCATCCCTCTGCAGTTTCCACCCCTAGACTCTCACCTTCCTTCCACAATCCACAACAGGGACAAGGACCGTCGTATCGGCGCATGCTGATGCGCGAGGACACAATTGAGGAGCTGGACTTCACTTATTAGGATTTCTCCTTTCTGCGTCTCGCCTGAAAGTGCTTATCATGCACCCTACACTTTATGTAGCAGTTATTGCACTTTCTTAATTCTTGCACAAGTTTGTATTAATACTACCTCTGCCTTTAAATTGTGTGTTGTGTGTAAAAAATAAAAGATTTTTCAGAAAAGCATAATTTCACATGTTTTTATTCAAATGTTTGCTATTCACAGGCACAATACAAAAAACAAATGTTTTCAAATGTAATTAAAAGCACAGGGCAAAGGCTTTCTG